CATTTAATTGTTTAAACAAACTAGATTATGAATTAATTAATTAATATATAAACAAATTACATATTTGTAATGTACGTAGAAATTACATACAAATTAAAAAAGAATGATCAAAATCCATTGAGTAGAACCGGAGATATAGAAAATTTTATTAGTTTTAAATTGTTTGTTCGGTATAGATTTGTACTCCATGAATTTGTAGGTTATTCCTAATCACCATTTAAACTACATTTTTAAAATTCGTAGAAGGTCCTGTAAAGGTACAACATTTGTGCAAATTTTTTATCAAAAAATACAAATCCCATTCTTTATCATGGCGTCAAAGAGGTTCCTTAATTATTATAATCAAATTAGCTGTGAATAAACAAAAAAACATGGCTAACTTTGACCCAAATTAACCTAGGTCAAATTTTTTTATTTGAAAATTCGGGGAAAATACTAGCTTTTCGAATGTAAAAAAAGATTTCTTCTAAGGGCAATGTTTTTAAAGTTCTAAATGTTTATAAACTAGATAATTTCAAAAATTTGGCATCAGGATTTTTGATTATGATAAATCATTTTTTTATCATTTTTTAATACATATTGATAGTATCTTTTGCTTTCATTTGTCGCCCACAGCATTACCCTATCTTTAATATTTTCTGTCTTATTTTATTGTAAAAAAAGACCTCTGGGATAAACAAATACAAAAACTTTTAAACTGATTAATATATCGGTTCCAAATTTTGAGGGTTTGTTAAGTATCCCAATACCCAACCTTCGCTGGAACTCTAAAGTAAAGTTGTTGTATTCAAAGTTTTTAACGAATATCAATTGTCACTTATTTTGCAGTTTGTAAAGCAACAAATTGACTTTTCAACTTACAAAAATCAGCATTTTGAAGCTTTGTCAATATTCTAAAAGATAAAATTTTGTAATTTTATGTCAAGTATTTAGCTTTCTAATGAGTGGAAAAAATCGCGTTTCTTGCATTACATTAAATCATTAAAAAACGGCTCCGAACTTTAGACAGGAAACAGGTAGGTTTTGTTCTTATATGTCTACAATAACTAAAATAGTTGTCAGCTACCTGGATTATTGATTGTCACGAGAAAATCCTTATTACTCTGGACTAATATGACTGGACAAGCAAGTGACGAAATATATTATGTAAACTTTACTAACAAAAACGTTCAAAATAAATAGTCCAATAAATATAATTAATCAAATTCCATATTCAAATACTGCAAACTATTTGGGTATTACTCTGAGCTCATGTAAAGAAGAAAAGAAAATAATAATTCTGATTGAAATACAAAAAAATGTACTGACCGATTGACCAAAATTCTACTCTGTTTCTACATAATAAATTATAATTATATAAGTAAATATTGAAACAATAGTATTATTATAAAAACAGTATAAGCATTTAGAAGGAAAATGTCACAACTCAACAGAAAATATTTCTATTCATATAAAAATTTAATCAAATTATAGGTACTTACTGCTTATTTATATAAAATTTCCTCAATCGTCGTCGACTTTTTCGTCCGGAGCATAAACGTCTTCGCGAACTACCCATTTTAAAAACAACAAAACACACTGGTTTGTCAAAACTAGTCAAAAGTCGAAATAAGCCCTAATAATGTTATTCAACATTATTTATGACCCTCCAACTTTCTTACCTACTCGTCGGCGAGAGTCTACAAACTATCAACAAGGACAGCTTGTACTGACCGAGAGAGAGAGTACATTTAGCACAATTTAACATTTTTTAAATAGTTTATATGAAATAGCTGCTTTGTCTTACACTTTATGTTAAAAATAAAAACAGATTCGGAAAGTGGGTAAAATTCTGTAGTGCCCTATTTCAAAAAAAAAAATTTTTACGTTTATTTTAACCAAAAATATTTAAAAAAAAAATATTGTTTAAACAATTTATTAATTTACAATCAAATAGTGCACTAGAACTTTTTAAGACCTTTCATATAAAAAAAGAATCATCTCAATATCTGCCATAGTTTTTGCGTTATTTGATATAAACTTTTACATTGGAATTTAGTTATGCCCAGAATCGCGAGGAATGGCCTTAAGGTGACATGCCAAGCTTGGATTGGCAGTCACAATCATGGTGATGTGATCTGCACATTTTAAAATTCTATGAAACTGAGCATTGACCAAAAGTCCAACTGACACTAATATAGAAAATCAACTGATGAAATATGAAATTCTATAGAATATTTTAGGTAGATTGCATAATCCAGATCGCACACTCAAACCGGTCTATAATAATTAGGGTGTTGGTTTGAGATTCACTGAAGTGCACGTGGAGTATTAATGCAATAAATAGACTAAATAATCTATTAGATAGTGGGTGGTTGACTACGATAAAAGGGGTCTACTAAGCACTATTAATACTGTAGAGAAAAAGAAATCGAACTATGAAATCCTCAAGTCTAAAACGTTATATTACATAAAAAACTTTTATTAACCATCAACTTCGAGTTTTTATCGAAGTTAATTATTTTCTTCAGTTGAAAAAACGTTTCTTGACTTATTTCAGATGCCCCTGAAGATGCGAAGAAGGAAGCGAAAGTAGTTGGGCAAGATTTGAGTAGTTTGGGCAAGGCCTGAAAATCTAATTGTATAGTGAACTGATTTCCTAACTGAGCTTCACGTTTGTCTTTTTTCCATTTCATGCCATGCCTCTTCTGTTATGTGTCCAGTTCGGTAGCTACAACACGTGTTACACTGGTCCTTCTTATTGGGAAAAACTGAAATATTTTGTTGACTAATTATTTTTAAAAACTTCTTTCTGCCAATAGACGGGACGCTTTCAGCTTGGCATTTACTAAGAAACAATTTAACATCAGAAATTGTATGAAATATGGGTTCCAAATATAGTTTAGATGAATGTTTTTGAGCGTAGTGTGACGGCATTTTAGGCAGTTCATTTAAACTTTTTTGGAGGAACTTAATTCTCCTTGCTAGTTCTGGTCGGTCACTTACTTGTTTATTGCGCTGATCTGCGAGAGGAGGGAAGTTATATGAACTTTGTTGATACCATCTCTGAACCATTTTGTAATTGATACCAAGCGTATTCAAAAACATTTGTCGACAAACTTGCTTTACTCCTTGTCCATTATTTAATCTATACTGAAACGTAAAATTACATGCAGAGTCATTTCGATCTACAGTGTTTCTCTTTTCCTTAATTTTTTATCACATGAGCAGTCACAATTGACTGTTTTTGTGGCCAAGTGAGCTCCCAAAATTTATCAAAAATAGCACATGTAATAGTTTCAGTAAAAGGAGAACATTGTCCAAGTTTTGATCTTTGACACAAGGTACTGTTAAAATTTGGCTTGATTTTCTGAGCTGATCGCTGGGTGTTTTGTTCGGACTTTTGATTTTCACCCTTGGCAAATCCAAGTTAAGGTTTGCCTTTCATTCTCAACTTCTTATTAATATTACGTTACCACTGAGTGGAATCAGCCTGTCGTCGTCTTTTGCGCCCTTCTGTAATTATTTGGGTCATTTATATTAATATTTTCTTGATTTTGAACAATATTGTGATCACTTACTAAATCATCAGACAAATATTCATCGGACAACTCATTAAACGAACTAGTGGCTGTATCTGAATCAGAATGTTCATTATGGTTCTGAACATAATATTCATCGGGTAAGCTTTCTTGAGAAATATTGTCTGTGTAACTTTCGGTATCATTTTCAGAATTTAATCCTGAAATATTATTTAAGTCTAAAAAATCATTGATCGTATATACGGGAGAAGTATTAGCAGTGTGAGTAATATCCTGGAGGAATTTCCTTTATTTTTACTAGTTGTCTGATCTTTTTTTTATAGTTGAAAAAAAAATACTAGTTCCTTTTGATTTCAGTTTGTTATATGTTGAAATATAAATCACAATATAAATTTTCTAAAATGTGTTATTTTTACATGGAGTAGTAACAATACCGTACTGAGGAGATCTAAAGAGATCGAAATACGTATATGCGGCTTGTTGCTGCTCTGTATCAAATTAAAATATTTCATTTGTTCGTCATTTGTTTAGTTTGTTTACTTCATTTGAAGTACCAGAAATCGAATTCACTACGAATATAGGCCATGATGAACGGCATTTGGAGTGCAATTTTTAGACTTCCTTGCCGATGCATTCATCAAGCTGTTTGCTTCGCAAGTCTTATGGGGCACGGCGGCTTATATTTGAATTCGATTTCGCCAGGTAGAAATCGTATGATTTCTCTTTTTGTGTTATTTTTATTTCAATTTTTTTTTTAATTTGTCGTATCTGTGTATCTATTTGTATATATAATCTGTCAAAATATTTCATTTTAGTATAAATTTTAAGGCCACAGCATACTGGCTTACACCAGTTGCTCGAAAACATGAGTCAAACAGTATCGACCGGGGTCAAGCTTTGGATGGGTGACCGTTTGGGAACATGTCATGGTATTGCCTTACTTACTTTTTTTATTTTCATTATTATTTAAGAATATTTTTAGGAAACTTGTAAATATTCAAATTAGTTTAATATTTAAATAAACCACAAATACACAGTTTAAAATATATTCATTTCATTGAAATCATATAATAGAAGTATAACTTTATCCTGCTTACAAAGTACACACATTTTTTTATATAATAATAGACTCGCACTGCACTTTGACAACAAATAGTAAACAAATTTGTACTTACATCTTGACTTTGCCATTCAATTCACAACATTTGCGAAAAATTAAATACAGACATGCTTATCATTAAGCATACTAAAAAATATTAAAGACTCACCCTGTAGAGCAAAAATTAGCAATATTTTAACAAAGCAATTTAAGCTCAAACGCTTTATTTTGATGTCAGCTATCACTCATTAGCCAATGTCCGATTAATTACAGGACACCCTGTATAGGAAGTTCGATTATTTTGATACGTTCGAATTATTTACATAATATAGATATAATATGAACACTTTATTCGTTTTAATAAAAAAAAACTTGCATAAGTGAATTACCATACTTGTACGTAGGTCTACAAATTTTTTAATAAAATAACACTTAATAAACAATATGCATATTTTGCATCTGTTTTGCTTATCTGTAGCTCAATTATTCAGTTTATTTTAACTTTAGTGAAATAAGTACAAAACAAGTTAATTACTACACAATCGTAAGTATTATTTGTAATATAATAATAATCATCATCATCAGTCCATCGTCGTCCACTGCTGATTATAACCCTCATCTAAAAAGTTCATTTAGATTGATCCAGCGTTGTTTCAATTCATATTGGTAGATATTCTTTTTATATCATGTCCATTTAGTCTTAGTCAATAGTCTTTCCATTTTCGTCTATTCACTCTTGATCTTCACTCCAAGATTTTTTTGGCGCATATATGATCTTTCTATGCAGAAATCAAGAATAGCAAATAACTAATGATAAAAAAAAATAAAATCGGAAAATACCTATTTCTAAACTCTTCCAGTGATGAAAGGAACTCTCCCTCCCTCCCTCTGGCTCTGTGTTTCTCTCCATATATTTGCAATACTTCAAGAATTTTTACTGTATATACCATCTGTTGTCATTTACTTCGATCCATCATATTTCCCTCCACTCTTGTATTGCTATGACAATTTAGTTTGTTTTAAAATTGTATCACTTTTTCTCCAAAAGTCCATACCTACATAAACTCTCGCTGACTAGATTCTCATTTTATATCCGCTTGATGACCTCTTGGTCATGGACTTCTTGCACATATCTGCCTATCTAAACCTCTGTGCTTTTATCTCGTTGACTAAACTTTTTCGTTGCCCAAACTTTTTAGTGTATTTTTTTAGTTTAATATTGTAGTTTTACTACAGAATAAGTATAATATTGAATGATTTTGTTAACTACAAGGATTGAATATGCCCATCAGAAAGTCTTTATATCAAACTTACGAACCTTTAAAAATCATTATAACACAACGACTCGTATAAACACGTAAACAATTTCTGCCTTTTTGCGTAGATAAATCTATGTTCATCAATCAGCCAATCGCGTCCACTGCTGGACATAGGCCTCCCTCAGTTCTTTCCAGTGTTCTCTACACTGGGCCGCTTTGAGCCAGTTTCCCGCTACACGTTTTATATCATCGGTCCATCTAGTCGGTCCATCTAGACCTAACCTAACCTAACCTAACCTAACCTCGGCTTCTTTTATAGTTTCTGGGCCTCCATTCCATAATAAGTCTTGTCCACTGTCCATCTTGTGCTCTGGCTAAGTGCCCTGCCCAGTTCCACTTAAGCGACGTGGTTCTTTCGATGACGTCTTGAACTCCTGATCTTTGCCTGATTTGTTGGTTTGTGTATTCTCGAAGGCTCACGTTCAGCATTGCACGTTCCATGGCTCGTTTGCGTAACTCTGAGTTTATTCGCAGATTTTTGCGTGAGTGTTAAAGTCTCCGCTCCATAAGTTTGTACAGGTAAAACACATTGGCCATAAACCTTTCGCTTGAGACTGGCATGGGAATTGATCTGAAATCTATGTTAGCTTCTCCTTAATTGACCGTAAATTCTAACAGTTAATCGAAAATATAGATTTTATAATACATGTACTTAAAACTTTGTTTGAAAAAACAAGATTAAAAAATATAAACCTTTGGAAAAACTGAACTTTTCACAAATTTAGTTCTTCTTCCTTAGTTTTTGCCTTTTCAAAGCTTGCTGTTATATTTTCTTCTTTCCTGTCTTTTTGTAATTTAAGCTTTTTCTCTTCATTCCTCTGCCACATAGTCCTTTCATCTTCTCCTTGTTTCTTCCTACTTCTCTTTCTCACAGCTGTTAACAACTCTATATCTCGTCCCACATATTTCTTATTTCTACATCTGACGTGAGCAAACCATTCCAGTTTTTGTTCTTGACACCTCAACATTTTCATTTCAGCTACCTTCCTCTTTTTTACTGAACCTTCTTTACAAGCCAATCTTAACCACTATACATCAGCACAGGTCTCACCATATTCTCGTATATCCTTTAACTACATATACTCCATTTTTGATCTGCTTACTCAGTCCTCGATCTGAAATGCTCCAATTTCTCCGTCAACAATTCAACACGATATCTTCTGCAAGGAGTATTGATCAAGGAGCCTTCTGCTTACCTTTTCAGTCATTACATCCATAATAAGATTAAACAGGTGATATTAACTTGATAGAGGTAGTAAACTTGACTTAAACCAACCTGTACTAAAATACTTTCGGCCAATTCGACACTTTGATGTACGCTTCCTCATACAAATCTTTCACGAACCTTACTTACTTTTCAGGAATTAATTTATCTCTCATACATCTCCGTAGTTCTTGTATACGAGCTGTGTCGTACGCCGTCTTAAAATCTATAAATACCAAATGTTGTTCTCCTTTCTGGTATAAAGCCAATCTCTTTTCTAATATCGATGTCTATCTTGTTAACTTTCGCTTTACAGTTCTCTCCCAAATTTATTCTATGTGTGGCATTAACTTTATCCATTCACAGTTCTTACAGTCTTGCATGTTCTCTTTATTTTATACTGTGGTAACATCAATCTAACTTCATGAATTAGGCATTAATGCCTCATATATCCTACTTATCATTTGGCACCCCACATCCAACCTATTTTTCTTATAATGTCTTCCAAATCTCCACAGATATCCCATTAGATCTTACTGTCTAACCATTCTTTATCCCATTTAAAGCCTTGACAACATTGTCTCCCGTTATCCTCGGTGATACATTGTCCTTTGAGGTCCCTTATCCTCTGTCTCTCCTCTGGTTTTCTTCTTTTTAACTTTTTAAGTACGCATAGCATCTTTGCTTTATTTTAACATCGGATCTTTTTCATCTGCATTTATCACTTATCTCTTGCTTTATTAATGCTGTATAACCTTTTCACACCCTCGGGTACTTCCAGCTCTTCCTACAGCTTTAAAATGCAGATAAGATCACTGGAAAAATTTGGTTTGGTAAACAGAAACGAGCGCGGTGAAACTTTAAGTTTTCTGATGAAAAAAATCTATTCCAACAGCTTTTTCTACAAATTACAAACATTGGAGATGGACGTGACAGAGTCCGAATAAAATAACTAAGAACAAGATTAATTTTATGACCAATGATAAGAGGCAAATTTTAAAAGATGTTACAGTCCTGCACCAGGTTTCAACAGGTAGCGACCACAGAATTTTAAAAGAGAGGTATTGCATGATCAAAAGGAAATCATTAGACATCTCTATCAGACTCTATCAGCTTTATCAGACATCTTCAAGAGCAACATGCTAGATTATTTAAAAAAGAAAAGGTTAGGCCAATGTGTACATTCATTTATGACTTAAGGTGCCCAAACACTTTCCTTAACCCAGGCTGCAACAACCATACTTATAGTATCACAAAGACGAATGGAACGCAGACTACTTAGACTGACAGAGTCAGTCAAAGAAATATGAAGGACAGGTATCACAGACGTCATAGAGCGTATAAGATGGCTAAAGTGGAACTGATCGCTGAGAATTCCTGATGACAACAGAATCGCCGAGAATTATCATCAGGAAGCTAAAGACTAACAAAAATGAGAAAACTTATGGGAAATCTATGTTTCTTTGCACGCAGAATGCTGAGTAATAGCGCTACCAGGCGCTTTTCTTCCGTCTTTGCTACCTTATATTTGTTCTTATCTTCCTCTATTTTAGAACGGTCATACCTCTTTCTAGCCTATTGCTTCTCCCTGATCTCCTAGTGAATATCATCATTTTAACAAAAAGTTTTTTGTATCTCTTCGATGCCCTTTCTTTTTCTTATGGTGCCCTATCCAATTAGTGGATATTGGCGAAAATTCTGGGCAGGGCAGTGCGGCTGGCTTCTTCTTCGCTTCACTGCGAGGATGTCAGTTCAATCCCCAGATCGGTATACAAAAAATAAAAAGGCTGACGCAGCAGTTTAAAATTCTAAATAAATCTTAGTCTAGAATATGCTGGTATCTGATCGGCCTATGGTGGAGCAGTACGGCAAGAGATAAGGGCTTGCGGCTCAGTGATACTCCTCCATAAATCCCTACCGGAAGGGCATGTGCCGCCTAAATACCGTGTATATATATATATATATATATATATATATATATATATATATATATATATATATTATTATATATAGAATTTCTTTCTTTCGATGCCCCGTTTTACTTCTATCTTCCCTTCCATAATAATCTTTAAGAACTGTTCTTATTTTTATTATTGGCAGCAATTTTCATTCAATTCGATTGAGAAATATGATGTAGATTTTCAGTCCTACTCGCACAGATGCCTCTTGATTCATATAAAGGTTCTTTATGATTTTAAGGTCATTCTCATCTGTCGAACGTTCCTTGAGCAATCTTACTAATTCTGAATGATTAACACAATCGAACGCTTCCTGGTAATCTATAAACCATAGGAAGACATCTTTTTGATGATCTCTGCATTTTTGAAGTGGACAGTTAAGCTATAAAGTGCTTCTCTTGTGCCAAATCCAAAACCGAATTGTGTGGGGCTAGTGTCTCTGTTGTTTATTCTTGAATTATCCTTAAGAAGAGTTTTAGGACCTGGATCAATAAGCTGATCATTCGTAATTGATTGCAACTATTAGCGTTTGGCTTTTTTGGGTTTGGTATAAAGGTTGAATGAAGCCAGTCCTGTGGTATTTGACCGAACCCATAAATGTAATTAAAAAGATCTACCAAGGCATCTATATTGTCTTCACTCAACATTGTTAGAACCTCTATGTATATGTCGTCTGAGGCCCGGTGCTTTTCCCTATTTGCTCTGTTTGATTGCCCTTACAACTTTTGACTTCAATATTTTGGGAAGGGTTTACTTTTATATTCACTTTCAGAGTTTCTTCTAGTGTTGTCTGAGTATAGTTGTGTAGTTTCTCTAATGTTAGTGAATACTGTTAAAACTGCAAGGTTTTGTATGACCTGACTTCTTTATACTAGATGCTCTTTACTAGATGATTTTTCTAGCAATAATTCCCCACACATATCTCTCGTTAATTCATCTGGGTATATCAAGAATCTTAGTTTTTAAAAGACGTAACTTATGTACCTAGTTTAATATAAATGTGAACATGACTTTTAGTTCCCGTTTGAATGAAAATTAGATGTCAAGACAGATAAATTTAAATAAAAACACTTGGGCCGCCCAACAGTAGGCTGACTTTTTACAAAGATGTACAATGACCGAAGGGTTAAAAACCTTGTGTTAATTAAAAGTCAAAGTTTAAATCAATATTTATATTAAATATACAATTATTGTATGCAATTAAAATAAAATTATCGAACATTTTGTATTTATTGCGTTGCTGTTCAAGCTTATAGCCCGTATATTTTGTATATGTGACAATTATTGACTGAATATATTGCCTAATAATTAGCGATACGTATTTTAGGTAGCCTTTTTATTATTATTTTTTTTTATTATAAACCTCCAACAAAATATGTTTATATTTTTCTCAATAACTCAAGCAAAAATTTTTGTTTTAATCGAATTTAATTTTTTTATTTCCTATTTTTAGGCACAGAAATAAGAAGACTAACATCGTTAACAAATTTCAAACTAGAAGAGAATATAATAAATAGTTTCAAAATGGCTATGGTATTTCCTGAATTATTTGCAAAAATGTCGTGCAACAATGCAAAAATTTCGAAGGTACTTCTAGACAAATATAAACATTTAATAAATTTCGTAAAGAATCCATCAATCCTAGAATATGGCTTTGCTGGTGGCGAAAATTCGGAATACAGTTTAAGGCCACTACTTCCGCATGATTATAAAGAATTTATAGCAGTTGATATCTCAGAACCTATGGTGGAACATGCCAGAAAAAACGCGAAAATTCCTCGAAGTAAATTTTATTGTTTAGATACGTCATCGCCAGACTTACCAGAAATGTTTCAAAATCGATTTGATAATGTATTCAGTTTTATGACCATTCATTTAATAAAAGATCCAAGGTAAGTTTTAACATAATTTGGATATTTAATATTTTTATATAGTACCTAATAATAATGAAAACACATACTTTTTGTTTTTTTTATTTTGCTGATTTTTTGGCGATTCAAGACTGTATTCTAGTATCCTACTTTTTTCCTCTGGTATTGGTGGTTCATTATGGTCAGCTTTAGCAAATAGGGAATTAATGTAGTCTACTCATATTTCCTTCTGAGTTTTTATTAGTTATTTTATCTCTTTTCAACAATACTTTTCAAAAGTTGAAAAGTCTTTTTCAAAAATCACTGCTGAATTTATTTTTAAATAACTCAATTATCTTCACACCATATTCGTAACAGTATCATGTAAAAAAGCATTTTAGTAGTTATAACTATTTATTTCATTCACGAATATTGTATTTAAAATTGTAATCTACCTAAACATATCTTAGTCTGCATTGAGTTTGGTCCTGCTTATTTTACAAAAGTAGCAATTTTGACAATGGCACTAGAATTGGCAACTCTGTTATTATATATCCATACACTGCCATCGGAATGTAATTTTTTCTTCCTCTTTATGTGCCGTCTTCTACCGAAGGTTGGCGACCATCATACGATAGGTTTCTCTGTTTTGTGCCTCATGAATTATGTTCGCAGCTTCTGGTATTTGAAACCATTCTCTCAAGTTTCTCAGCCAGGATTTCTTCTTTCTGCCCAAACCTCTTCTACCTTCAATCTTGCCTTCCACGATAAGCTGTAGCAGACTGTACTTATCATTACGGAACACATGGCCCATGTATGACGCTTTCCTCCTTTTAACAGTTTTTAACAATTCCACCTCTTTACCCATTCGTCTTAATACCTCTGTGTTGGTCACTCTGTCTGTCCAAGGTATTCTCAGTATGCGTCGATACAGCCACATTTCTAGAGCCGCTAACTTCTTTATAGTTGCTGCTGTTAACGTCCACCCTTCTACGCCGTAAAGTAGCGTAGAGAGTACGTAGCATTTCGTGGCGCGCCATCGGAGGTTAAAGCTTAGGTTGCGGTTGCTTAAGAGCTTTCTCATTTTGATGAATTTGGATCTTGCTATTTCAATTCGGATCTTAATCTCTACTTCTGGGTCCCACTTGTCATTTACTGTATATCCCAGATATTTAAATCGGTGTACTCTTTTAATACGTTCGTCTTCAATATGCAGGTCGATATGTTGAAATTTTTTTTTACTGATCACCATAAATTTAGTTTTCTTTCTATTGATCTTCAGTCCAAATCGGCTGCCAGTTGTATTAACTCTATGTAGCATCATCTGTAAATCTTTGATGTTATTGGCCAGTATAATAGTATCATCTGCATATCGAAAATTACTTATTGGTACGCCATTAATCGTGATGCCCTCATTGTACTCTTCTAGTGCCTCTAGAAATATTTGTTCCATGTACAGGTTGAGAAGCAGTGGCGAAAGAATACAGTCCTGTCTTACCCCTCTAGAAATGGTTACGTTTTCACTCACCATATGTCCATTCTTCATGTGGGCTGTTTGATTCCAATATAGATTTTTTATAATCTGGATGTCCTTAGTGTCAAGTCCTGAAAGACGTAATAGTTCTATGAGTTTGTCATGTTTGATAGTATCGAATGCTTTCTCGTAGTCGATAAAACAGACGTAAACATCTTTCTGTTGATCCAGGCATTTTTGAATCAAAACTTGTATTGCAAAGAGGGGTTCTCGAGTTCCAAAACAGCATCTAAAACCGAACTGTGTTTTACTTATGCTGTGTTCTAATTTTGCTCGTATTCTGGAATGGATAATACGCAAAAATACTTTAAGGGTGTGGCTCATTAAACTTTAAGGCGATATTCACTACACGTCTTAGAATTATATTTCTTGGGAAGGGGCACAAATGTAGATTTCAACCAGTCCGATGGAATTTGACCAGTATCGTATATCTTATTAAACAGTTCCAATACTACGTTCAGGTTGTTCTCGTTAAAAATTTTTAAGAATTCGACTGGTATTTCATCGCATCCTGTTGCTTTCCCATCTTTCGTTTGATCTATAGCTTTTATCATCTCACTTTTCAATATTTTTGGTCCATTCAGATCAAGAGTGTTCGTAGAATATGTCGATAATCCGTAAACAAATCTTTTATATAGATTGCCCAAGTCTGTAACTGTTCTGCTTTATCTACAATAAGTTTATTGTTCTCGTCTATTAACCTACCAAACTGTTTTTTCTTGTAAGTATAAGTAAACTCCTTGATTTTTTTATGCATGTTAAAACTATCGTGTCTTCGTTCTAGCTCTTCTATCTCTTGACATTTTTCTTGCAACCATTTCTCTTTGGATTCTTTTATCTTTCTGCTGACAGTTCTATCCAGTTCTTTATATTGATCGGGATTATTCTTATTTTCCCTCCTTCTGTCCATAAGGTGTAATATTTCATCTTCTTCTTCCGCTCGGAGTCACCAATTACTGTCTCTTTCAATATCATCACTATCAGTGTTGGTTGTTAAAGCAACATTACTATTAATGCTATTTGTAAGCTTGGTTTTATCTCAGAATTTCTAAGTTGATCCATATCTAATCTTTTGTTATTCTGTTTCTGGATTATGGTTTTTAGTCTTACTCGTAATTGGGCTACAAGAGGATTATGATCAGAGGATTATGATGATGTGATTTCTACTATATATTAATGTGATGGAATGTGATTTCTACTATATATTAAAAAAGTTTGTATTTTAAATTTAATACAATACAAATAGCGCGAAATATAAGATATTTCTTTAAATCAATAGCAGCATAAAACTTAGTAAAACAATGATTGTGTTTTTATTAATTTTAATTTCATAAAGAAACTTTGAAATAAATAAGGTAAAATTTGCTAGATTGTATTTTTTAATTGTAGACAAACTTTCACTAACACATTTAGGATGCTCAAAGATGGTGGTGAAACGTTTCAAACTTTCTATAAGCACACTCCTTGTGACGAAGTTTTTGTAAAATTAAGCCAGCATCCTAAGTGGGGTAAGGAAAAATATAACCAAACAAAGATGTTGCATCCTTATTACGATAAACCAGAACCTAAAGAATATATTACAGCAGATCTAAAAGTAGCAGGTTTCAAGAAAATTGAATATATGGAAGAAAAAATGTCGTATAATTTTGAAAACGAGGAACAGTTAAAAGGTAACAGCATTTTTGATACAGCACACAATAATTGAATTTTTAAAACCATAATTTATAATACACTATAAGCGTAATTAAGATGCACTAGTCATAATTTGAATAAAGAAAATAGACATAAACAACCCGGAGCTCTTTATACCTATTAATTCATATTACTTAAAACATTTACATACCCATGTATTAAATTCTGAACTAGCGCAATAGTTACATGCTAATAGTTTTCACATAAGGTACTTAATTCATAGTTCCGCTTTAGAAGTAGCGAAGAAAAGTCTAGCAAAACATGCATCTTGCATCATCAGCGTATGGAAATTGTTGGACTCCTAAATCATTTTTGCTTTACAAGCCTACGTGGGTCCTAGCCTCCTCAAGAATTTCTCTCTAGTCGTCCCTATCCATCACCTTACTCCGCCAAACACGTATTTCTATTGTCATTTGTCAATTATATTCTATAAAGTTCGAAGTTGTATCGTTTTCTTCACATTCCATTTTCATTTATTGCTTAGATTCGCCTTAGTACTTTTCTTGCGAAACATCCTAATATGTTTTTATTATTTTTTGTTAAAGTAACTAAACACTTCAGTGTTTTTTCCAAAATTTGGTTTAGAGTTGCAATCCAATGAATTTTATAAAGACACTACATCCATATATTCAGTTTACGATAGAAACAGAGAAAGATCAACAACTAGCGTTTCTAGATGTATTCTTCTTCTTCGCATGCACTATCAGAATTATCCGACGTTGGCGATCACCGAAGGCTTCTCGATCTTCTGCAATGTGGAATAATTGTCCTGCGTTTGGTATCTGAGTCCATTCACGAATGTATTTTAACTAAGAAACTTGTTTTTTTCCTACACCTCTAGGGCCCTCTATTTTGCCTTTGAGGATCAGTTGTAAAATTTTATATTGACTTCCCCTTACTATGTGTCCCAGATAAGACATTTTTCGATGTTTAACAGTATTTAGCTGTTCTCTGTCTTTGTTGACGCTCCTTAGTACTTCTTTATTAGTTTTTCTTGCTGTCCAAGGTATCTTCAGCATTCGTCTGTGAACTTGCATTTCTAGGGCTTTAATTTTGTTCATGATCGATACTTTTAGCATCCACACTTCTGCACTATATAAAAATACAAACCAAACATAGCACTTAACCATTCTTTGCCTTAGTTCTAAACTGAGATGGTTATTGCAAAGATGACTTTATTTTTATAAAAGTAGTTTTAGTCATTGCTATTCTACGTTTTATTTCTATGTCTGGATCTAGTTGGTTCATTATCACAGTTCTCAAATGTGTCATTCTGTGAACTTTACAAACTTGGACTTCGTTCAATTGAAGCTTTGCATCGGGATGCGGGTCACGACTAAACACTAAAAATTTGGTTTTGTTTGAGTTTATTTTAATGCTTATTTCCTCTCCTACCTCGTGAATACGATCAAGCAGAATCTGAAAACCTTCAATATTATCTGATTGAATTAATGTATCGTCTGCATATCTAATCACATTAAGTAGTTCCCCGTTGATTTTTATTCCATATGGTTGTCTCTCACGTGCCTTTTTAAATAACTGGTCCGAGTAAACATTGAACAATGTTGGCGACAAAATGCAACCTTGTCAGACTCCTCGTTGTATGGGGATTTCATCGGTGTCGTTATCTCCAATTTTTACGATAGCAATTTGATTCTAGTACAAATTTTTAATGACACGAATATTCTTGTCATCTATTCCAATATTTTTCAGTAATTGCATTAATTTTATATGCTGTACTTTATCGAATGCCTTTTCGAAGTCCACGAAACATGCAAATACATGTTTTCTTTGGTCACAGCATTTTTGTAATAGGATGTTAAGCGCCAAAAGTGCCTCCCTGGTTCTCATAGCATTTCTAATACCAAATTGGCTATCTTCAAGATCTTCTTCGCATTTGCGTCTAATTCTATTGTGAAGTATTCTGAGAAAAATTTTAAGAGTGTGACTCGTTAGGCTAATTAATCGATATTCTGAGCATTTTTTCGCATTGTGTTTTTTAGGTATTGCGATAAAGATGGATTTGAGTCAATCTGCGGGAATCACTCCTGTGTTATATATTGAATTAAAAAGTCTTACTACTACTTTTGTTATCATTCTCTATTAGTTTCAGCAATTCAGTTGGTATATCATCTGGACCATAAGCTTTTCAAATTTTAGCATTATTAATAGCATGTTCTACTTCGTATTTCATATATTCGTCAGTACAGTTTTGATCTATTCTTAGAAGCACAGCAAAGAAAATGCAGAGGTTAAAATAGACCACACATGGAAAACTTAACTTACAGTACAAGATGAACATAAAAGAAAACTGGAAAAGAGTTAAGTGAAGTATAGAAGATAACTAGCAGAATAAATAAATAATAAAACAATAATATATTAAGAATTTTTTAAAACTCAAAAAAAAGGAGGAAAAACAAATATCCAATCCATATACAATCTCTAACAAAATTATTAAAAATACAGCTACAAAATGGCCAAAAAAGATCTACACATTTTGAACATGGAAATTAAAAGAAATTGGCACTATAGCTAAGTTATATTATAACCTTCAAAAATAATAAGAATACAGAACAATACATTTAAAAATAATAAACTCTGGATGATGTTAATATTAATGTATGTAGTAGTTTAGTATTCAAGCGGTAGTTCTCGTTTTGTGGACAAAGGTATATATATATATATATATATATATATATATATATATATATATAATATATATATATATATATATATATATATATATATATTCGTATGAACTTTACACATTGCAATTTTTACATAAAGAAAAGGGAGAAAAAAGTGACAATAACAATAATAAATAAGTAAGTAAATAAGTAAACACTGATACAGAACATATAAAATTAAAATTATTAAATTAAAGTCGAAGGTTACATCCTCGAAGCCAATTTCTCGCCTTGGGAGTAAGTTGGTGGATTTCTTGAAGGCTGCCAAAGAACTTGGTGGCTGGATACACGAAGACGATGTGGTTAATTGTTTGTTCAGCAGCGCTGCATTTGTCACATTCCGGGCTGGCATTTATACCCCATTGATTCAGCGATTTGTTACAAATTCCATGACCAACTCGTATTTTATTTAGGTTGCACCATTCACGACGAGAAAGAGAAAAGCCGTCTGGTTTAATTGTGGGGTTTTCTATCAAATTGGAATTTCTAATGTCTGGATTCCATTCGCCCATCCAGTGCTCTTCGGTAGTGAAAACAGCCAATGTTGTAGCAGTTCTAGTAGGTGGAGGTCTGGATTTCAGTCTTAACTGCCTTTGGTGTAGTTCATCGATGTCTGTGTTTATCGGTAGTTCTGGGTTTTGTTGGCATTTTTGAACTATAGTTTTGAGTGCGGCTAGTCGTCTTGTTGCTGGTGGAGCGATGTTGCTTAAAACTGCAAGCCATTGGGTTGGTGTGGGCTTTATAGTTCCCGTTATGTGGTTCATTGTTTGGTTTAAGTAGGTATCTATGACTTTTGTGTGATGACTGTTTAGCCAGACTGGAGCGCAATATTCTGCAGTAGGGTATACTAAGGACAGCGCTTTCGTTCTTATTACCTCTGCATTGGACCCCCATGATGTATTTGCTAACTTATGGATAATATTATTGCGGGTCTTAATTTTTGCTGAAGTATTTTCCAAATGCTTTTTAAATGTTAGGGTACGATCTAGAGTTACACCGAGGTATTTTGGGTTAGCACTGTACTTTAGACTGGTTCCATCGCATTCTATGTTTAGTCTGTAATTTGCCTTGTTGTTGTTTAGATGGAAAGCTGTTACTTCAGTTTTCGATGGGTTTGGTTGTAGGCCCAATTTCTTAAAGTATCTGTTAACAGTCTTTAGATCTGGTTCTATGGTGGATTCGGCGATGTTTATGTCTTCTTCTTGGGCACTTAAAGCCATGTCATCGGCATAAATAAATTTGCGCGAGGTGGTAGTTGGATCATCTGACGTATGAATATTAAAAAGAAGAGGAGACATAACTGATCCTTGTGGCAAGCCGTTTTGCAGGTTTCTGAAGTTACTATTTTTCCCATTTAGATGTACTTGGAAAACTCTGTCACTTAGCATTTGGTTTAACAACCTGTTGAACGCACGGCACGGTAACATCTGGTATATTTTATATAAAAGGCCCTCCTTCCACACTGTGTCGTAGGCGTAGGTCAAGTCTATCAATGCTGCTACTGTTTTCAGTTTCTTTTGAAATCCGTTCTCAATAAATGTTGTTAAAGAGAGGACTTGGTCGCCACAGCTTCTTCCCGGCATGAATCCAGCTTGTTCTTTACGAATATTTGATTTTGTAAAGTAAAATAGTCTCATTTGGATTATCCTCCCGAAAATCTTGTAGCAGACGCTTAAAAGAGCGATTGGTCTGTAGCTCTCAGGTAATGCAGGGTCTTTCCGAGGTTTAGATATTGCGATGATCTTACTTTTTTTGAAGGATTTTGGAAACTTCTGCTTAGTTAGTATTTGATTGTAGAATTCAAGAAGCCACTTTCTGGCATTCGGACCAATGTGTTTTATAAATTCAGGATAAATGTTGTCAACTCCTGCGGCTTTACGACATTTTTCATTAATTTTAGAGCTTCCTCAAGTTCTTCTGGTTCGATGAGCTTCATTATCGGTAGGCTTTGTTGTTGAGCAAGTTTGGCTTCTTTTAACTGAGATCGAATTTCTCTTTTATGATCTTTTTCTATTACTGGTTTTGAAAGGTTGGCTATGCGTTTGCCTATGTCTTCCGGTTATATGACAAAGGTATAAGAAATGTAGTTTCCTAGATATTTGTAGTTTTAAATATTTTTTGAAATTTTTACCTTCTGTCATAGTGCGAACCTTAATAAAGTTTATAAATGTTATTAATGTTTTTTCAGCAACTTTCTTTATTTCTCTCAACGCTTAAATATTTCTTATAGCATGGTCTTTAAAAATAAATTTGTTTGCAGGTTTATACCTTTCTGTAAACACTACATTACCACACATTCCAGCTGAGGACCTTGAGGAATATAAGAAGGAATATTTACGCGAAGTTAGAAGTATGTATACCGTATGTGAGCCAGTGAATCAGCCAAATCATTTAGTATTGCCGGTTGAGTTGACTGTTGTATGGGCGAAAAAAGAGTAAATTTAAAAAATAAATATTACTTCTCTTTTAATTAGTTTTAATTCATACAAAACTTTACTCACATATAAGAAACTTATGAGGAAAATATTAAGTAAATCAAATAGTACAAGAGTATAAAACTGTGGTCAGATGGAATTACAAAAGAAAAAATGAAAGATAAACTATATAAAAACTATAAATCTCAAAGCCGCTAAAATAAAGAAGATAGCCAATAACCAACGAGGTTTTCAAACACGGGGTAGAAAGTAGAACCCTAGAGATGAGATCAAAACTTAAACAAAAACTAATATTCTACACTGCAAGATACCAGACGCATGAAGAAACCGCATAATGATACCAATGTTCAGGAAAAGAAATAAAGAAGACCCCAACAATTATAGAGGTATAAATGTACTGAACACCGCACTTAAGCTTACCAAAAAAGTCCTAACCATAAAATCAATAAACTAACAACTTTATCAGATAAACAACAACGACTCAGATCCAGAAGATCGTGCGTAGACGCTGTATTTGTACAAAGACAAATCACAGAAAAGGCCATCGAGTACAACAAACCAGCATATCTATGTTTTATAGACCTGACAAAGGCTTTCGATCGCATCCAAGATCAAAGTCGAAGATATCTTACACCTTTAAAAAAAAAGGTGTATTAAAGGTTAATAATCAGTTATGCATTCTAAATTCTTAAGTTATCTTTTACCTTAATCTCCCATTCTTTATTTAAAACTAATAGAACTATTACGTTACGCAAATGAACAATACGTCTCGAAATTACAAAGCACAACCTCACTGTTTTTGGTCGATTTTTTATACGCCAACGGTCCAGCTAAAGTCTGCCATCAAGAAGTGAACAACGTAGCCAGCGACAAATTTACGACGTTCTAGGGCAATACATCACGCGGTCTCATTTACAGTGGATCGTAAGTGTAAGCGGGACATCCTTCCTAATAAAACTTGGGCAAACACCACTGACCATTTTTTACTTGGGTCGACACTTTACTAACCCACTTTAACAAAAAGGGAGCAGAAAATCACCAAAAAGGAAAAATGTATGTAAAAAACTACATTGTATTATATAGTAAGGTCTGCCTATTATTTGTATCAGAAACAAAAGTATTCTCCATAATTGAAACTATATTAAATGTGCCTAAATTATAAGCACAATAGATTTCGTAAGAAGTTTAAGTTTATATTATTCTAAAATATGAATATACACATAATTTAGTTTAAATATAACTCGCCCCCTATTGGGCTATGTTTCTTCCCTAAATTTTCTGAAAATATTGCATCTCTATATACACGAATACTTCTTAAGATGCCCCTACTTACTTTGTACCTAGTTACTAAATACTTTTTGTGAAAAAAATGTTTAACAAAAATCAGTTTTTCCCTCATATTGTTAAAACAACTATACTCTAAACACAACTCAGAAATTCAGCACTTACACTATCTCTTAGAACATTCCGAACATCCCATGCAGAAAATTTAAATTGTGAAAATGAGGAGTCTTCCTTATATCATTACTGAAATTGGTTTGTAACATTTTTTTATATAATTAAAATATTAATTATTTTTATTTTTTTTATCCCCGTGATGATACGTCCATGGTCGGTTTACCATTTTCAAAATCTTATTGAACGCACGGAATTTCCCTAATTAAGAAAGGTTGCTAATCCTTTACTTCTTAATCCCGAGTATGAAAGGAACTAGTGCTTTTCGGTATGCGGGTTCTTTTTCATAAATTAGCAATTTTCGTCTAAGGCACGTATAGAAATCTTTTGACAATAACATAATCCAAAGGATTGTATATTTGATCACGTCCAATTACTAGTACCTACCGTAGTTCCGTCAAACTTTTCGATGTCCATTAGAATATTTTTACCTTCTCAGAACTACATACAACTGGCCTATGATTTTTAAATGCGAGATATCTCTTCTTCTTTTTTTTGCTGGTGAGTTTGGTAAATTTTTGGAAAAGAAAAACTTGCTTCTAGTGGGGCGAGCATTGAGTGAGGTCGCTTGCCTAAAATTACCGTCTTTTACCGTCTCTCTGCATTTTTTTTCTCTAAATGTGTATACACTTTATATTTGAGTTTTTTTTCTATACTATATTAAATTAAATATAGTTATTAAGTACCTTTAATGTTAATTAAAGTCAGTGTTTGATACAAGTAAAGTATTAAGTACAGTATATAGCTTCAGTGAAGTACCTAGGCAGCAGTCATCAGGAATTACTGTAAGTTACCATAATTTTAGTATCTCCAAGTATCTGGGCAAATAATATGGTATGGTATCATATTATCTGCAATCATCTGGGCGAATCAAAGTTCATCCATGTCTTCACCTGTAGATTGCTGATTTTTGTATTTAATTTAAAGAACATTTCATTAAATTCAAGAAATTTCAATAAGCAATAAATATGAAAATTTAAGTCTGTTTATCATTAAATAATAGTGCGAAGCAAATAATCGGCTTAAGGCTGTTTTAGCAGTCAAAACACACTGCGATTTGAAATGGGCGTATCACTTACTTTTCCTCACTGCTTACGCCAGCTGACGATGGGTACAGCTGTTTTCGCAGTGGCGCCGGCCGGCGGGTGGTTTAATGACAACAAATGCATTATTCTCCATTCAAATATATGGCCTAGGAGACAAATTCGTTAAACTTCCCGTGCTCGAATCGGTATCACTAAAGTGTTATGATCAGTTCGGCCCATCCCAGCCATCGTCAGACACTCCTCATTTGTCTCCTAGGCCATATATATGGCCTTTTAATATAATAAAGCCCTAGAGGCTTTCGCTAAAAGATTTAATCTTTCACATTTCGCATAGCACAAAGGATACAAAAAACGATATTATTATATCGTTTCGTTCACGGTCACCAAAGCAGGTGGCGCCTTTGTAAGCTAACTACGCCGTACTGAAGTTCTGGGAGACATTCGTTTTCCTTTCCGAGTTTGAATTTGTATCAGCCCAAGTGTCTGACAATGGCTGGGATAGGCCGAAATGAACACTTTAGTGATTCCGATTCAAGCACGGGAAGTTTAACGAATTTGTCTCCTAGGCCATATATTTGGCCTTTTAATATAATAAAGCGATAGCGGCTTTCGCTAAAAGATTTAATCTTTCATATATATATATATATATATATATATATATATATATATATATATATATATATATATGCATATATATATATATATATATATATATATATTAATATATATATATATATATATATATTATATATATATATGTAGACATAGCAAAAAATACGACCGTTGATTAAATTTAAAAAATATTCAATAGTTGAATAGCAGAGGTTGTATCGGTCAATAATAGGCAAATGAAAGTCGTCAACTACTTCATTGATTTAATCGAATACGTTTCGCTTTTTAGTTTTCAAAAGCATCATCAGTTCACTACAAATAAAAATAAAACGATGTAAAAAATAAGTAAATAACCAAAAGGGTTCATACTTACAAAAACAATTTGTAGGTTTTGTAAAAGATGTTAAACACACTCTACGATAACTTAACATTAAAAAATTTAAAAACTAAACGATAGAATCGAAACAAAAAACACACAGGAAAAAACTGAAAACAGCACTATTGTTTATTTAATTTTTACCGATGGCTTCATCTCAATGTGGGTGTAAGCTCTTTCGAAGACCCAACACAATAATCTCTTGAAATGTTTTCTATCGGTTTTAGGCTGTCACATTTGCACATGTGGCATGTGTCGTCCATACGTTTATTCAGAAAGCAGTGAAGTACGATTATTAAAAAAGTTAGTAAGCAGAACGGGGACAGCCCTATTTTTCAAAAAGGAATATTTTATTCTACAAAAAAAAAAAAAAATATTTTGAAAATAGGGAAAGAAGAAGGGGAATGAAGTTACTATCTTGTAAGTGTTTTTTATTTAATTATTATTTGTTGTGTATGATGAGAGAGTGATATATCTGGCTCAAGTTGTCGATGTCGGTTCTTTTATTTAGGGATGATGGATGTTTAAGAATTTGACACATTTCAAGGATAGAACGCTTATGATAATTTTTTTGTTTGCACAGTATTTTAGTATTAGTGAAGTCGATACTGTGTTTGGTTGAAATGGCATGTTGTGCAAGGGCACAGGATGGTTTTGAAATCCTAATGTCGCTTTTATGGGACGTTAGTCGACCTTGAAGAGAACGGCTGGTCTGGCCAATGTAGCAGGAGTTGCACTCCGCACAGGGTACATGATAGACGACGTTAGTTTGTTCTAGAGGGGCCAATGGAGTTTTTGTCTTAGAAAATAACTTTCCTACGGTTCTGGTGTTTTTTAAAGCTATTTTGACAGGTAAGTTTTGGAAAAGTTTGATTAGCTTGTTCGTGATTTGTGGGAAGTACGGGAGCGAAGCATATTTTATGGTTTGTTCAGGAGTGAGAGGGGACTCATTCATTTGTATTCTGTTAGAGATGGACGCTAATGTTCGTCCGTTGGGTGTTTCAGTGATGGACTGCCCATAGCTTTTGGAATATAGAAATTTATTGATAATGGATGCCGGATAGGAGTTATCTATTAGAATAGACTTAAGTAGATTGAGAGATTCTTCTTTGTAAAGCGGATGTGTCAACATGTGTACTCTAAGGCTGAGGGCTTGTACCAGGTTAAGTTTATATCTGATTGGATGTGTCGAATGGTAATTTAAGAAACGGTTGCTAGCCATTTCTTTTCTGTACCAGGTAGTGACTAATCTGTTATCTGGAGTGCGAATAATTCGCATATCTAAAAACGGGATACTGTTCTTAACCTCCAATTCACATGTAAATTGTAGGTGAGGATCAAAGCAGTTAAAAACTGATAAAGTGTCGTCCGTCTTGTTCGACGGAGTTGCTAAAATCAGATCGTCGACATACCGTTTTACAAAGGGAACCTGGAAATCTAACTTCTTGATACTATCATTAATAAGATCGTCTAGAACAAAGTTGACTAGAATAGGAGAAATCGTGGATCCCATAGGAGTTCCAAAAATTTGGCGATAAAATTTGTC